AGCGAAAAAAACAGAAAAAAAAAACGAAAACGCGAGAAAATTAATCTGGTCATTTTTTTTGTCCGAGTTTTTGTCTAGTATTGTGCATGTGTCACGTTTTGTAAGTCTTTTTGTCCGCGGCAATATAAGTGAAGTCGTTTGTTATCTATGTGTACCAAGCATTACATTTATTATGAGGAATTATTATTATTATCAATTATTAATGTTATTATTATATTATTAATATTATACATAATTATCCAATAATCGAAATATATCTACATCTTTCTAATGAAAAAAAAGAAAAAATCGGAATTAATCAGGAACGAATGGCCGACTCAGTAGTGTACGCAAAATGCAAACCGTGAAGCACTTTCTTTTCCAAACCGGAATAAAATCTTTAGATTGCGATTTTAAAGACATTTAAATTGCCGAAACTAAAGAAGAAAAAAGTGAATACACCGTTTGCCTGTGTATCTACCTGCAGCGCCACTTGATTCTTAATAAGTAACTAATTAATTACAGTTATAATAACAACCAGCAGCCAACATCACATCCATTTAACAATAATAATTAGCGAACACTAGTGACACGACTAAAACTCGTATTTAAAAGGAAAGAAAAAAAAAGAATAAAATATGCCTTGGTGTAATTTATTACAGATGGCCCCCTGGTTGTTGCATTGATGACCAATTACCTTCACCTTACATTTCCCGCCTTATACATGTTGTGCTTTTTTTTTTAATATCTCGCTCGATGCCGTTGGAACAGCAAGAGATCAGTACGCGCGAGTTGTCACCCGAGAAGAGGACAACTACGCGTACTGATCGAGATGAGCGGATGGAGAACCGGATACCGAGAGAGCTGCTGTATTTTCCAAATACGTATGATCGTCGTCGATCACGATAGCTTAAAATAACCTTCAGACCGGCATAAGAGACGCCAATAATTAAGCCAAGGAGCTCCTTGCGATAATTAAGATTTTGTCGTCATATTATCTTCTCTTTTACGTTTGAAATCGTTTAAGATGCACTTGTGTAACATTTCGTCGTTCATACATTTTATCTTTTCTTTTTCTCTTTGCAGTGATTGATTAAAATTTTTATCATACGATTAGTAGAGATTGAAATACTGAAAGAATTTGGATACAATTTTTGGTTGCCCATGTATGTGTTTGTCGTTAGAAAATATTGTACATATATGTATGTATATATATATATATATATATATATTCTTTTTTTTTGCCTCATGATCTCTGCCTAATTTTACCGCCGGACTGAAGTGTTTTTTTCTCTTCACTTCAACGATAATGTCTTTTTTTGCGATTAAAAATATAGGCGACATATACAGAGTGTTGTGTATCAATTAAGATTGAACAATTGCTCATCAAACATTCTTTTCGTCGAGTATCATACTGTCATTCGCATTATTCAGAGTTTGACGGTACATGAATACATATACATACATATTAAGTGCTAACGAGAATTCTCCTTTGCAGCTGAAGCGGTATATATGATAAGTAGAACGTTAAATGCATTTGAGCGATATGTACCAGCGTGTATAAATATTATGTCACCGTTTTTTTTGTTGTAATAGTTTCAAAAAGGACAAACACAAAACATATCTCATTGCGAAGATTTCACGTCGAATTAATCGAGTATTATTTTCGCATATATGAGAGAATAAATGGAAAAGGAAGAAAATATTTGTTATAACATTATTGTAATATGTTAATGGACACACATTCGTACTGTATAATTACGCGTTTAAGCGCAGATTTTCATTATATACATGTCTGTTCATAAGAGAACAATGATGCGTATTTTTTCAATTATGTTAATTTATTTTCTCACGCATTTACATATACACAGCTCTTTGAATTTAATATACACACATGCATAATTGATCCATGTATAACATTTTCAGTATTATTTCACGTGTAATGAGAATTATATACGTTATATAGAGAGATCTTTATAGTTTCTCTTATATAGATACTAAATCTGATAAATCCGTCATCTCTTTTATCTCTGTCAATAAAAATTATGTTCTTAGGACGAGATTCATTCTTTATGACTACGTGACATAATCGCCATTCCTCTCGCCTTGGTATCTCTAGAAAGTGAATGGAATACTTTTTTATCACAGCGACTGCGAATTATTCTACATATATATCTTATCAAGCGCGGAACACTACTTTATCGCATGATATCAAATAATGAAACTGATAAATGTTAAGAAAACACGTTTAAACAGAATTTCTATACGAAAAAGTGTAATACTTACCATACAGCTCACAAGTCGCGTAAAAGGAGTCAATTGAAGTTTATGCTTCGCATAAATCAATGGGCGGCAGTAGCTTTAATTGCGTAATTACATACGTTATGCAAATTAAAGTTACATAGTTCAATAAAAAAAATCCAAGAAAAAATATAATCATTTCTTATATTTTTCTCCTAACGCTTAATATTATAACCATAGAAAGACTCTCTTTACCGTGTCACAATTTCTCACTAAAAATTTGATTAAAGTGCTACTTTATACATATATATAAAGTTTATAATATAAAAGAAAAATTATCAAAGATTTTTAAAAAAATTTCCTGAGTCATTTAAAATTCCATGAGAATTTCCCGACTTTTTCAGGTACAAAAAAAATTTCTAAAAATTCTAGATTTTCCACGTTTTTCAGGGAGAGTAGATGTAATTTTGTCTCGTTTAAAAAATTATATTATTGAAAAATGTTTGTTAGATCCGTAATCTTCAATAGTTTAATTTACAACTTTCTTGGAATAGACTTAATATTTAATCACGAAAATCTTATTAATTTTAATATTTTCATAAAATAAATCTCTTTTAAGACTAAAAGTGCTAACAATGTACTTAATTTGGAACGGAATAAAATTTTCCCGACGTATCATACATGCCAAAGTTGTAACATGTTGCATGTGTAGAAAAATGGCCTTTTTTTCATAATATTAATCTCAAATTTCTCTCAAAAATGTGATAAAGCATCTCGTAGGTTGGCAACTGTATTTAACATATCAGCATGAGAAACTGCATAGAATAATTGTCTCCTTTCCTGGGTTTGCAAAAAGTTCTTTTTAATCGAACTTATAGAAAGCGGCTTCGTGAGAATGAGGTACAAGTATCACGATTCGAATGGACAAGTTTACATTTTATTATTATTTTCGGAAAGTCAAAATTAAGACATCGTGAAATATAATCAACATCTCACGTGCTCGCATTGAAGTATTTTTGTAAATTCTTTCCGGACTGATCTCCCCGCGAATGAACATAAAGCGTTTGCGCTACACGTTTTGTTGCACTGGGGGGTATGATGCTATTAAAATATATATCGCAAAGTCGCAGCAAAATATGCGTGTGCCGGTATGTGTGTGTATATTTGTGTGCTGAATGTGGAGCAAGTGTGCATGTACCCTTCCCTCTCGTTTCGATTAAATGGCAGTGATAGAAATGGATATCTCAAATTCATGCATATATATTCGGCTGCCAGATTTATACTTGTATGTACTTTACGTATATAGAGTATCCCAGAATAAGCGGATTGGAATTCAGACGACAGATTCTCCTAATCTCTCCTCGACAAATAATATTGACACGCGAATTATTAGCGAGAGCGTAAATAGTTTTTGTTTCGAGATCCTTCGACTTTTTTTTTTTCTTTATTTACTGGCTTCAGAAGAATCTAGTCGATTGGAATCCGAGCCGCTCACTCTTCGGACCAGACACACTCCAAGTAAAACTCCCGATGACTGGTTGAGTGATACCGCTTTTGTTTTTTTTTGTCCAAATGAAATTTTTATTAAACACGGTTTCTCTGTAACATCGAGGACGAATTATAACATAAATAATCATCGTCGATCAGTATCACTTTTTCGCGCTCAACAATGAGTCTATTAGTAACACTGGAAGATAATAGAGTTGGGGGTTGGGCGAGGGCGGGAATGGGGTGGTGGTCTCTCTCTCTCTCTCTCTCTCTTTCTGCTCCCTCTGCCAAGTGCATCTATCTTTCATTCTCATATACTCTTTCAATCATTCTTTCTTTCACTCTCTCGCTCGCTCATATATATACGCATCCTTTCATTATATATATATATTTGAATAATTATCGTTCACACTCAGCTATACGAGGTTTTGGTATACAACAATACCTAACCCTAATCTAGCCTAAATTTTAATTATCATAGCGTGAAGCATCGTGGTGGTGTGTATATACATCACACGCGCGCGCGCACAACTATAATTAAATTCTGGATTCGTTTTCGCCTCGATATATAATCGTTTTTGTGTGCTTCAACGTGTTACATATTAAAATACAGGAAAAATAGGGAGAGATACGCGGGGAAAAGAAAGATAATTTGGCGATTAAAATCGATTTTTTAAAAAAATGTGCCTGCATTTTGTTCGTGAAGCATAAAAAAAAAAAGAAAAAGAAAGATAAACAAACCACCACCACCGCTCCCCGGCTCGCTCGTGCATTATTTTTCCTTTTATAGCGACGCGTTGATTACGTACGCGCGAGTTTCCGGAAAATCCTATTTCTCTTCTGCATCTTGCCATCCCGTTCTTCCTCGATGACAACGTCGAGTCTATTATGTGTTTCCGGTAATCTTGAAACATATATACAGGTGCATTTTCAAGTCGAGAAGAGCATTGTTAATCTCTTTCTTCGACTTGCATGCCGTTTCTTTAAACTTTATAAATCCAACTTTCTCGATGACATCTCGCGTTTCCTTTCCTGCCGGAAATGCACCTATATATTGAGCTTGTTTCTCTTAGGTAGAAAATACTGCACAGTCGAAAAAATGGCAAGCGGGCGTTTTTTTCGGGTTTCGCTTTTTCTTTCTATCCGTCTATATCCTTCGTTTTTGTAAACAAAATTTTTCGGAGGTGTTCGAAAAATCATGACACGCGTGAGGGATGCGATCATCAGCTCCCAGTCGATAATCTATCCGACATGACGAATGTTGACATAGCGAATTGTGTAAATTTCGTTTCTTTTTTTTTTCTTTCAAACGCCCGCTCGCCTGCATTGAACGAACTTAATATGGAATGTACGAATTATCCTCCATTTACACATGTCTCTCGTTATTATCATGTATATAATAAACTCCTCTCTTCTTAGGTGATTCCCCGCCATGATACGGTGTGTTTGTCCCTCTTTGTGTACATATGTTTGTGTGTATGATGTGTCTACTGGTACACGTACGGTGCTTTTATATGATTTAACGCAAGCTTCTTCACATCCCCGTTACTCCATCGACATACGACGACGTTTCTTTCCTCTCGTAATGATGGAAATAATATATATGTGTATAGTGGACCGGATAAAAAAAAATCACACGTCTAATCGGATGTCGACCGCTGGCCTTTGCGGTTTCCGTAAACGATTAGACGGGACTTTTCTCTTGCCTTTATCGCACCGATCGTATCGTTGTCCATGAATAATCGTGAAAATGCGAAAATTTCACCGTGTCCAGCAGCCTCTCAATTTACTTAATACTATCGTGTGTACCTGTTGATCAACTATTATTTGCATTCATACTTCTTTTTTACCAAAGTTTCATCCATCATTCTTCTATTAATTTTTTCAGCTGAACAATCTCCGTCCACGCGAAATCTTGTCCGGTACAATTTCACTCTCTCACTCCCTCTTTCTCTTTGTTATATTACGCCGTTTTATCACGCGCGATTCGCGTGTCGCCTACACTTACATATTTCTATCCCGATAATATAATTTCATTTCTTTAGAGTTTTTTCCTTTTTTTTTTTTTGTTCACTTACGTGATACTTATTCGCGTACCTGCCGTTTCGCGATCGCATTTAATATATATATATATTATTTATATATATAATTGTGCTAAATATTCTTTTATCAATAACATGGTTTCTTTTATACACTCAAGTAGAGCCGATTACTTTAACTGGTAATTCAATGTCGTACTAAGCTACAAATGATGATTACTATACAATGAAAGAGAAATGTTCGACAGTGGAATTAACATGGGAGATCTTCTCTCTACATATATGTATAATATGTATTTCCCTGTCGGCCGTTGTTCTCCATTTTCTTTCTACCTTTTTCTGCTATACACTTGCATACCGCAGCGTCGAAATGCATCATCGCGCATCGATGTGCATCGCGAAATATTAATAGAATGTCGGGCGCATTTCTCGATCGTCGATATAATTATACGATTTGTGTGATGGGTAATGGCGTGTGGTTACAAATGTTTGGACGCTAAATAGATCGATTTTTGAGTTTACGATATTATAGGGGAGGAGGAACGCGTAAAGAGATGAGCCGAGATGGTAAGAAGTAGATAGGTATGCATGGAGTAACGTGATTAAGTAAAATGTCGAAACAAATTTTCTTTTTTCTTTTTAGCATAATAGTAGTCGGGGAGCGCTGTTGGTTGCAGGCGACATGTCTTGCATGGAGCCATGTGGCAGGTAGTAGGATGCCGTTACTGACCGTTTACTTGGTGTATAGATAGATGGCGACGATCAGACCGTAGAGACCTAATACTTCGGCGAAGATCAAGATCAGAATCATGCCGACGAAGAGACGAGGTTGTTGAGCGGTGCCTCTCACACCGGCATCACCGACAATGCCAATGGCAAATCCGGCAGCTAGACCGGAGAAGCCTACGGACAAACCGGCGCCCAGATGGGTGAACCCCCTAATGGACAAGAATAAAAAACACCTTTATCAATTACAGATTCGTTTTCTCTCGTTTATGTGTATGTAAGAAATAGATTATTATCATATTCTTTTTTCTCAGTATCTCGTGTATCATAAAAAATGAAGTTTGTAACTACATTATAATGTTCTATTGTATTTAAACAGATATCCAAGTGTTACGGCAGCAGATTTATTGTACATAATGGAAGCGTTAAAAGAGATACGTACGTATACAGGTCGTATTTTGGAACTTTCTCAAGATTGCCAGCAATCAGAACAGCCACTACAAGACCATAAATGGCAATGATACCTGCCATGACAACAGGAATGATGGATTTCATGATTAATTCTGGCCTCATGACAGACATGGCTGCGATTCCTGTACCGGCCTTCGCTGTGCCATACGCTGCTCCCAGAGCTATAAAATGAAATTAATATTCCGTTACATGCGTATTGTGTACAAAAATTTTTACATTCCGTTTTATATATACACGCTCACACAAGTTAATGTTTTTTTTTTTCATAAATTAATCATATACGATATAGAAGTGAATATAATATTAATAATTTAATTTAAAGCACTTTAAAAATTATGTAAATCTAATTAACTTGAAAATGTTAAATGTAATGTCAAAATGCCCACCTGTTTCTCTAGTAAGATAAATGATGGAACAATCAAACAAAAGCAATTATTAGCTATACAAACATACGCTGAAAATTTTATCAAATTTGACTTTAAACAAAATTTTGTTAATTACCTACAGCTTAATATTTAACTACAACTGTCTTCGAGTGAGCTTTTTAAAATTCTTTCCTTCATTAATGAATTTTATAGAAATTTATTGATAAATGTTTGAGATATATACGAACGGCGTATCGTCCGACATTTTTAAAGCGAAACACGCGATGAATTCATTTTTAGATTAATAGTATAATTTCGCGCGATTTAACTCCTCGTTCTAGAAAATGTCTCGTAAAAGGAATCGTAAAATAAAACGTGCTGCATGTATTTTTCCGATGCACTATACATTTCTTTGCGGTCTTAGGCCGTCAAGAGCGTGCACGAGGATTATCGATCGAGAGTGCTCGTCTCGCAGGCAGTCTCAAAGCGGACGAAAATAATTTTCATCCCGTCATTTTCGCCTAAAGGGAATTAAATTCATATGAAAGAGGAAAATTCCCCCGTGAAAATCGGTCGAAACGTCCGACTTTAGCGGCGCGACCAGGTATCTTTACGGATACCCAGCCCAGTCCTCTGGAAGTTGCAGTCATCTTTTTCGAAAGCCATGGTTCTCCAACGCGTTTTTACGCTCTAATTAAATACCGATCACGGCTATTCAATCATCGATATTGCGAACATATGTGCGTTATCGTGTGCACCTTATCGTACGTAAATAAATGTCGCAGGTGCTCGGTTCCGTTGTCTGGTTTATGCGTAGCATTGCAAGCTTAATAAACGAGTTACTTGTTTCTCGATTTCTCTTCTCTTGTTTTTCAGATTTTTTTTTTCTCTTAAACTTTGCGGAAAGAAAACGCGAGTAATTTGGATTGAACTTTCATTCTTGTTGGCTGTACATACGTTAATTCTTATATTTTGGTCGTCGAAATAATCGTAAAATGACTGGAATAAACGAATGCAACGAGAAATCAATCACGAACGGCCTCGTTGTAGGATATCCGGGTAATTGATGACTCCGATCGATACATTTCGGGGAATGATGACGGAGAAGAAAAGTGCGATGTTCGCTCTTCGTTTATTATACAATCGCGCAAATGTATCCCCGTTGATGAGAAAAGCGTCGAAGGCGCTCGTACGGGAAAAGGTATTGATCTTTTCGATGGTAAGCGACGCTCGCGACGGTCCCGCGGGAGCTATATCGTTTACCACGCGAATTAGGGAAAATCATTAATTTTAAATCAATACGCGGCGCATTCGTCTCTTGCGAGAGAAAAAAAAAAAATGATCTATGCTTCTTTTTGTATTTTTATCGCGAAGCCGAGAAAAAATACGAACTAGGGAAAGGATCGACTTTTCGCCGATTAATCGACATTCGTGTCGAAATTTCTATCTGTATATCAGTGAAATTTAGGAGAGGTAGTGGAAAAAAAGTGTAGAAGGTACAGATAAAGAGAATAAATTGTCGCGGGGAAGCGCGTCTCGTGACACGCACGAGGCGCACGCCCGCTTCAATATTCCGTCCGTCCATCCGTCTCTCTTTCTCTCTCTCTCTCTCTTCTCCGTCGCTTTTCCGAGACTCGCAAAATTCTAGCGGCGCGCGCTTGTCCGAGGTCAGCATTACGAAATAAGCTGTGCCCGGATCGACCCGCGGATCTCCGCGAATAAAGCGCAGAGACATTCCTTAGGAATCCGCGACGCGAACACTTGGATCGCGTTTTCCGCATTGCAAAATAGCTTTTGGTAATCAAAACTAACGTTAAAGAGAGAAGATTGAATCGACGAGCGATACGGATAATGAAGGAGAGAGAAAAAAAAAAGGGTAATCGATTTGTCGATTCGGGGAGGGAAGGGGTGGCAGGGGTCGCGATTCCTCCCCGAGCGTGATAAGATAACTTATCCGAAATTTCATGCAGCCTCTCGTCATCGCGATGAGAGATCTCGCGGAACGTCACGCGTCTCGTCGGCACATGACGTCGCCGCGAACGCCCGTGGAAAACGCTCCCCCGACGTTTCTTCGCGACGAGGGGATCGATAATCCGCGCGCGCCGCGCTATTCGCACACCAACGAAGGATTTTTCGTCCGTCTTACGCCGCTCGAGAAAATGGCGTGGGACACATATCGTGCCATCGTCGTCGACGACGATAACGACGACGACGACGACGGATGGGGAATCGATATATCCGAGCGCTTCCGTAAAGGAAGCTCTAATGCAATCGCCGACCGATCTCGGCGAGCGAGATCACGAGGGCAATGGAGAGAGGATCGGCAATAGTTGAAACTCACAGGAAAATATGATGGCAGAGGCGGCGCCCATAACGCCGAAGAACGGCGAGTATATCGGGGCTGCATCTTCTTGTGAACTCATTGTGGCTTGATTTGCCGGATCTTTCGGTCAGTCGGAATCGATCGCGGATGTATTTACAGGTTGCCAATCGGCGGTCGCACGGATCGTCGAACGTAGAACGATCTTCACGTCACTCACGTCGCTAAACTAGTGGGCCACTGTCAAATATGGCCTACACCGGAGTACAGTGGCGCGGGTCATGTGATGAGTGACGAGCGATTAACGCGCGGAGGTAGGTGGCCGTGCGCCGTATCCGCGCGTAGTCGCGTCGCGATTAGCCGGCGACGAGCGTCTGCCGCCAATCGTCGGCCGCGTCTCATCCCCACCATTCGGTGTACGGATCGCCGATTGGTCGCGTCGACGCTCACGATTTCATCGTCGCGAGCGCGTGACATGATATCGCGAGATTCAAGGCGATTTCTCGCAGGCACATGACCGCGTGTTTCAACTGTCAGCTGAGTGGTTGCGTTGAGTGCGAACTTTCAAAGAGAGTAGGATAAACGAAATATTCATGATAAAATTCAAAAGTTATTATGAGCATAGAAGGACACGTATCGAAGGAAATTGTCTTGAAAAATGTGTCGATTTTATTTTTATTGATATTATATACCGGAGCGATTTCTGTATTATTTAACGCTCGTGTGTATCCTTGACCTTATTACATCTTGGTAAAGAGAAAAAGAGCTTTTAAATTAAAGTACAATATATATCCACGCAAAGTATATATCTCAATAGATTTATGCAATTTTATTGAGTCTGTTTAAGTATTATTATGAATAAATATCAAGTATGTTCGCAATTTTATTATCTTTTTCGAAATAATCTTTACTTCTCAATCAAATATCCCTCTTTAGATATCGCGTTTTGAATAAGCTCGCTTTATCAGAGATACTTGACAAAGAGTGTATCACGTGACAAATATCGCACAACTGATATTTTTCATATGATTGAAACACGATATATAATTGTCTAGGTAGAAATTTATATAAATATATATATATATATATATATATATATATACATACATACATATCATATAAACCCATCTCTATACTTAATATTCATTCTGCAGATAAAATTTATTATTATTATATTTTACATGTAGTAAACTTTTATGTAAACTTTTAACCGATCCTTCATCTCGATTTTTTAAAGTACTTTACTCTTGTTAGTTTAGTCATTCGGTAGTTTAAGTATGAATTTTTCGCGACAAGGACTGAGCACCAAAATCTAATTTTATATATTTTGTGAGCACTAAAATCAGGAAATATTTCAAGGCCTATATATATATATATACATATGTTTAGCGAAGATTCGAACCCATTTAGCAGAGATTTGAACTTTTGCTAAACAGAGACTCACAGCCATCTTGTGGCAAAGTGTAGAATACAAAATGATGTGGATTGAGCGATCTAATAAGCGACTTCCGTCGTCTGAAAATATAAGGAGTTTCCATATCCCTGATCTGTCACGTGTTTTTGAAAAATATTTCTTTGATATTGTTGAAGGAGAAAGATGAAATTTTCGTACAAGGTAAAATATTAATTGTTTAAAAAATTGCGTTATACGTGGTTATATTTTTGCGTCAAATCACAAAGTTGTCAAATATTGGAAGCATGTGTTTCTAACCTCCCTATGAAAAATAATTATATATTTTAAATACATTTATTAAAAGTAATAAATAAATTGGTTTATTAATAAATTTTATGTTCAAGCAATTTAATTATGAGCAATACACGTGTTGACATAATTGTTGAGAGTTATATTAAAGATAAACAATATACACTTAAAATATAAACAAATATATATATACATAATAATATCATTTGCTATTTTTCTGTTACAGTTTAGTAATTTACTTGGTACAGTTTACCGTAAAGGAGAATTACTCTTTTCTCCAGATGGATCATCAGTGATTAGTCCTGTAGGCAATAGAATTACAATTTTTGATTTAAAAAAGTAGGTATAGCAAAGTAAATATATAGATCACATATCTGTTTAAAAGCTTCAAGAAAATTTTTATAAATGTTATATGATAATAATTCCTATAAAGTTTTATATATATAAGAACGATTCTTTTTGCAGCAATAAATCTATAACGCTTCCTGTGGAAAGCAGATTTAATTATGTTACTATTGATATATCGCCAAATGGCAGCATGTTAGTTGCGATTAATACAGGTAAGATTTTTTTGCGCATGTACATATTGTAAAAATATAATTTGTAACATTTAATAAGAATCTAAAGAATTCTTGTAAAAGAGAAAAAATAATTTTATAACATATTTGCAGATGGTGAAGCTCATATAATTAGTTTGATAAGTAAAGTTATTCTACATAAATATAGATTTAAAGGGCGTCCCAAGCGTGTAAAGTTTTCTCCAGATGGAAAATATTTTGCAGTTTGCAAAGGAGGCGGTGGTATGTGTTCATCATTATAAACATATAAAGCTAGATTTATAAAAGCATATATAACTTTTGTAATCATTACTTAAAATAACATTTCTTTCTATGTTTCAGTTTTTGTTTTCAATGCACCAGGTTTACAAACAGGAAATTATAATCCATTTATTATGGAACGTGCATTTCATGGAGCTACTGCTGAAACTACATGCATTAGTTGGTCCTTTGATTCAAAACTATTAGCAGTCGGTTCAAAGGATACAACTATAAAGATATATAGTTTACAAAAATGGGCGAATCTTAAGTGGATTACATTGGGTGGTCATTCTAACGTAATAGTAGCATGTTTCTTTGAAAGTAAAGATTATGATATGTATACTATTAGCAAGTAAGTGTTAAATAATTAAAATATTTACATTTATTAACTTTCAATTGATATAGTTTCTAGATTATTGTTGTTTCTTCACAAATAGTTTTATTATAATTCTGCATAGAAATATTTCATTTAAATAAGGCTGTTATAAATTTTTGGTGCGTTTCTTTTTTTACAGAAATGGCCGAGTTTGTGTGTGGGAATGCACGCTCGAGCCGGACGATTGGGTTGAATGGCAACCACCTGCGAAAAAAGGGAAATCTGAAGATAGTGAGAGTGATAGCGAGGATGATATTGATACAAAAAAAATTATAGAAAGAACAATAAAGCAACAAGCTCGTGCTGAACGTAAATTATTAGAATCAGGTGAAATTTTCTATATCCTTTCATAGATCTTTTAATTTTTGTATTATTTATAAATTATCTTGTAAACCTAATAATAAGTAAGAAAAATATTTTCTTTATAAAAATATAATACATATTTTATTAGATGATTTGCTGGAAAATGATGAAAAAGAGGATGATATAGAAGAGGAGAATACTACCAAAAAGACTGGAATCAAAATGTTAGGTTACAAAAAGCTAGCTACTTTTTATTTGGGAAATGAAGTCCAGAAGCACTATAAGGAAGCAAAGCTTACTACAGCCGCTTATCATCAGGATACTCACATATTGATTATAGGTTTTAATATAGGTTCATTTTATTTATACGAAATGCCGCACGCCAATTTGATCCATTCATTAAGGTACAGTAAGATCTAATAAGTTGTATAAGAAAACATTATAAATTTACAATATTTAGGCACACACATTTGTTATATTATCATGCCATTAGATATTAAATTATTTTAAATTACTGTATATATGCTTACAGTATTTCCCGACAACGTATCTCTTCGATCGCATTAAATTCTACTGGAGATTGGATAGCTATAGGATGTTCCCACGCCGGTCAACTACTAGTTTGGGAATGGCAGAGCGAGACATATGTCATGAAACAGCAAGGGCATAGAACTAATATGAACTGTCTTGCGTACAGTCCGGACGGCCAATATATCGTGACGGGCGGTGATGACGGGAAAGTTAAACTATGGAATACCTTGAGCGGTTTTTGCACGCTCACATTTCATGAACATACCTCATCGATATCCGGCGTTTTGTTCAGCCACAATCGTAAATTCATCGCGTCTGCCTCGTTGGACGGAACGATACGAGCGTATGATCTAGCGAGATACAGAAACTTTCGAACTCTCACGTCACCACGGCCGGTGCAATTTTCTTGCTTGGCGATCGACGCAAGTGATGAGTTTCTTGCGGCGGGTGGTCAAGATTTCTTCGATGTGTATCTGTGGAGCATGAAGCTCGGAACTCTTTTAGAGGTATGCGTGTATAATTTTAATGATCTTCGATATTGTACACGATTCGCGCAATTTAACTTTCACGATTGTATAATTTGACTTTTACTTATGTGTGTATCCATTTGTATTACGCTATGCGGTTTATAATGCACAATAAAATATTTGATTTTAGATATTGAGCGGTCACGAGGGACCTGTCGCAAGCTTGGCGTTCAATCCCAATCCTACCAGTACGGAACTGGTGTCCGCATCTTGGGATAAGACATTAAAAATATGGAATGCCGTCGAGAACGGTTCCGCGCACGAGACTATACGATTAATTGCCGATGCGTTGTGTGTAACTTACAAACCGAGTGGGGAAGAGATTGCTGTCGCTACATTGGATGGACAGATTACGTTTTTCGAGTGTAAAACGGCTAGACAAACGGGTTTCATCGAGGGCAGAAACGATTTAGGTGCCGGTAGATCTAAAACAGATCTCATTACAGCAAAGAAAAATTTACAGGGCAAGTAAGTAGTTTGATGCAAGAAGTATTATGCATCAAATATATATGTTTAAATTTGTTATAAAATCTGATTTTTTTAGAGCCTTCACTACTTTATGTTATTCGGCCGACGGTACGTGTATATTAGCTGGTGGTCGTTCCAAGAATGTGTGCATTTATAATGTTCGAGAGTCTATATTGTTGAAAAAATATGAGATCACTCAGAATAGATCTCTGGATGGCGTAGACGTAAGGAATAATTTCTTTTTTTATGTTTAAATTTGCGATTAATCGGAAAAAACAGTACTATCCATTTTTATTCAAGTTATAATGCCTTATTTCTATTCTGGCAGGATATTATAAACAGGAAATATATGTCTGAATTTGGAAACAGATCCTTAATTGAGCATCGTGAAGGTGGAAACATATCTTTACGATTACCAGGTGTCAGAAGTGGCGATATGGCAAGCAGGAGAGTCAAACCAGAAGTGAGAGTACTTTGCTTACAATTCTCTCCTACAGGTAAAAATAAATAATTGTCAATTATGGTTGAAGCATGATCAATTTTTTAAAATAGTATACAGGATGAGTCACCTAACTTGATTATCTTAAATTACTCGTAAACTGTTTGTTGTATGATAAAATGTTTTAAACAAAAGTTGCATGATATTAAGAAGGATATATAGCACAATAATCCATTTTTCGCTATTTCGTTTTTTTATCGAAATATGAAAGTCATCTTGAGTTTTTTTAAATGAAATACCCATTTAGCTTTTGAATTTGAAAGAATGTCGAACACTAAATAAAAAAAGTATTAGGGTATATGAGATCAAAAGTCTTGTATTTTGTGAAATAGGACAAGCATGGGCTGCGGTAACAACAGAAGGTTTACTGATATACTCTTTAGATATTGGATTGATGTTTGATCCGTTTCAATTGGAGCTTGGCGTTACTCCGGATACCGTAAAAAAAACCCTTGATGAATGCGATTATGCAAAAGGTATAAGCATTTTTATGCTAGAATTAATGAGATAATAAAATAAATGATACCATTTTTTTAGCTCTAATGATGGCACTGAAATTAAATGAGAAGCTATTAACGCAACAAGTTATAGAAGCTATTCCATACAAAGAAAGTAAGAGTTTATGTACATCTTTAATCAAACGTACTAATAATTTTATCAATGATTTGATATATAAATGGTACTTACTATTTTCTCATTATACCACAGTTGAATTAACGACGACGAATATGCCAGACATTTATGTGGAGAAGCTTCTGAAATTTATAGCGTCCGAATTGGAATCAACCAGGCATATACATTTCTATCTTCTATGGATAGAAACAATTCTGACAAAGCACGGGTCGCGAATTAATACTGCACTTCAGATGCCGGTATTATTGCTGCTACAAAAGAATATGCAGAAGAAATACGACGATTTGAGTAGGATGTAAGTTTATACTATATTTTCTTGACTGTAATAACATATGTTACTATAAACAGGGAGATCATTGGAAATGTTATTCTCTCTTGCAGATGTGATTTTAACGAATACACAATAAGCTATATACTGAGAATAGGGGAATTAAAATCTGCAAAAAATATATCGAAATATTCCGTTATCAGGATAGATGATGAATCTCTCTTTGACACTTCTGTAGAACAAATGGATACTGATTGAATTTATTTAAATTTCATAGAACGAAAGCAGTGTATATACGAAATTGTTGTATAGGAAAAATAAATATAAATTCTGGATCTCTATAAATTTTTGATACATTTCTAATTTAATCGATACTGATTTAGCTCAATAGATACGAAAGAAATTTCAATTAGAGATTGTATGTACATGGAAAAATTTACAATTGAAATTCACATTTTTTGTTTTATTACGGCGCTTTTTTAAGCAATACTATCGGCCAGTATAAAACAACAAAAAGTAGAAAGAGTATAGGAAACACAATTCTGCTATAGCAATCTATTTTCTGAGAGCGCGTTTTACGCGTCTGCGTCGTCTGACATTCAGGATCTGGCGTCCAAAGGGTTGGCAGCAGATGACGACCACCAGTTCGCTTATTTTTCGATTTAGTCGTGTAAATGAACTCGTCGTCCCAGATGCTCCGTCCTTTATCTATCGTCGTCAATCGCTAAAAATAAATAATTAATATTTAGCGAAGAAAAAGAGATTGTGTATATGTGTAATACAATTGAGAGAGATAAAATCATCTGACGAGATTTGTATAATTCTAACCGAAAACGAACGAAATCCCGTAGAACTTTGCGAATCATTCTCTGCGTGTCGCAAGTCGAGCACCTTGACGACGACGAATTCACCCAAAGCCGCAAATACGAACATCATGCAGCCAGCCATCCAGACATCCAGTGCCTGTATAAGCAAACACAACTCATAAATCCTCATGCAAAAGAAAAAGAAATAGACATGAAGGTATGCCCTACATTATACAATACAGAGAGCTCGAAGATAAGACTGTTGGAGTACATTCGCAAACTCACTTTGATGTATGCCACTGGCGGAATGTCGCTCTTGAGTCCGGTGAACATCGTCACCAGTGTAAGCATACTTGTGACCAGAAGAGCCACTCGACCAGGAATCGCGTCCAAGCCCAGCCAGAAGCTGAACCAGGAGAGCATCACTACCAGAGTCGAGGGCGCGAATGTCTGTATCAAGTGGTGGCCGATCTGTCTCTCGAAACGAAAAAAAAACACTAGTCGCGAAAAATTTCCTACAAGAATTATCTTTTATTATTTTCCTTATTATTTTTCCCATACATACGGACGGAGATTATACGAGAAAAAGAAAATATATATGAGCACATATTCTATATATATAATTACATATATATATATTTATGTTTGATTATATATGAATTTTTTTTTTGGGTGGATTTTAAAAGTTTGGTTTATATTCAAATTAATATAAATAAAAATTAAATTTCAGATGTATACCATTCTTTTCGAGCATATAATCTATGGTCTCTTCGAGCACTGCAGGCTTCCCGATGTCATATTGCAAGAGCTTCAATTCGGGATTCACAGTAACACCACCCGCACCCCATTTTAATCGCAACTTCTTCCGATTGTAGGAAACTACGACAAATAATCCGAATTGTAACGAGTGAACAAATTTACCGGAGTGTTATCTGAGAATACTCATCATGTTTTTCTTTTCTCTCGTACTTTTTTATCTTCCGTTTTAAAGATAGATCTATAAGAATAATAGCGTCCGTGCACAATACATATTCCAAATAGATGTAACAATAACTCTTCTCTGAGAAATGTTAAATTAAAATTACAAATATTAAATGGAAATTGCAGATGTTAAATTAAGATACAAATGTTGAATTAAAATGATACTTTATATAAAAACATATGTATGAAACTTATACATCATTAATCACTTATGTGCATATTTAAGACTCACTTACAGCTCTCTATGTAAATTGGACAGATTTGAATATCCATTGGATACAATTGGAATTCCATCTGACAGGCGACAATGGCGTTAATTCGTGCAGAATACTTGATAGTTTTATTCCGGTATAATGTGACTAGCGAAAACTTGTGGTTCAAAGTTGCAATCTCTGAAAAAAATATTAATATGCAATAATTTATATTTTAAATAGCAGGCGAGATATGGTTTTTTGCTATGCTTACCAGAAACCTTCGAATTCAAAAAATACGGATCAGGTTGCCAAAGATTGTCGAAGAATTCTGACGGAAGTATGACATAATCGTCGTCTTCCTCAAAAATATTCTGAGACATGTCAAATCGAGATTCTATCCAGCTCTGACTGACGAACATGTCCACACTATAAATATAAATGTTTATAATCTTTCTTGTTTCTACTTAATTATGTAGATTTTGCACTTTAATTTAAAAAAACTATATATATAAAATTTTATTGAATTTTTTAAATTTGTAATTCAGCGATAAAAAATTGTACAGAACGATTAAGCTTATATATACCGGAAATCCATATCTTCAACGTTGATGGAATTAATGTCAACTACTAAAATGTTGAAGTCTACCACTACAGGCGCACCCTTTTCTGACGGCGGTCTAATTTCTGCGAAAGTAAAATTTATAAATCTACAGATTTAAAAATTTTTTTAATTAAAAATTTTATTTTTTTATTATATGCTATTGCCTGTTAGAAACGCTCTATAAGAGCTGCGATTTACCTTTGACGTAACGTTCTGGTAGAATTAGTCTCGACGTCATAGTGCAATTATTGACATCCTCGTTGAACGAGCTGAAAAAAAATGCTATGTTATTAAAATTTTTTGTTAACGTTGTGTTAACTCAATTTGCTGATTCGTCATTGTGTGTCGGCATTCATTATAGTCATTTAAATTATCGTATTACATATTTAACTCATTGAAAATTCTCGAAAAAAAATTAAATGGAAAAATATTTCTACTCCAATACGATTTTGTACCCGCTATCGAGATGGAATCGCGATGTTTATCTTTCTGGTTAGGTAACACTTATTTGGTCGCGCGAGAAAGAAAGAAGTCGTTAGCGAGCGAGTTAGGTCTCTATTTGCAGACAGATGTTTGTTATCTGTTGAAAAACAGAGGAAAATGATAAGTTACAAAATTTATCTTTTCACAAGAAGCTTACGAAAGTTTAAGTACCTACATGCACATACGTGTTTTTAAAATAAATTAATAAATAATAGAGATAAGTATAAATAAGAGCACGTTCAGGTTGTGAAGCAAACAAGGTCAAACAACATTTACTTAAGCACCGTTATCTGATTTCAAAAATTATTAATTATTTATACATAAAATTGTAACAATTTCTTATATCAACGGATTACCGGTTGCCTACAATATAAGAACAGAATTATCAAAGAAAAAATTTTTTCAAAGAATTCCCCGAGTCTCAATAAAATTCCACGAGAATTCCTTGATTTTTTCAAGTACAATAGAAATCCCTGAAAATTCTAGATTTTTTATGTTTTTCCAGGGAGTAGACACTCTGCAAACACAAAATTTCAAAAATAATTAATTAAATAAAAATAAAGTAGTACAAATTTACATTATAATAAGAAATTGCTACAATTTTGTGTATTGTGTGTCAAAACCAAATCACTCTTGGGACTTTCTTTTCTCTACTTCAAGTGCGGAATTACTTACACACGTTTTTCTTCATCGTTTTTCGAAAGCGAGAAAAGACGAAATGACGCCGCGTCGTTTTGTCGCGCTGTGCGTAATGAGGCGAAAATGACGTTTAAAGGAGTACGAAGTCATTTACCTCGAGGAACACACTTCCGGGAGAGAATTCCAGCACAGGTGAAGCAAAACTACTAGAAGTATGTCCTTCATCGTAGCTGGACGTGGTGGTCGACTGACAGCGATGTCTTCAGCATCCTTTGCACCGCGCAGTGCAATTAATCAATAAACTGTCGTTTACGCCTGATCTAATCCAATTACAAATATCATTATCCGCTTGTACTTGTCGAGGCAATTGCTTTACGCGAATTGCGTAACGATTTGTCTATTTAGACGTAGGCACATGTTATTTGCATCGTGCGATCGGGAAGAGCGCTCGCTTGCTGCGCATACAAAAGATATTTGCCTTGCCATTCTGATTTTTAACATCGAATTGTTAATGAGATTTATCAACAATCTTTGCGGTTGCAGCTGCAGTTTCAGAACACGTGTCATTTATTTTCATCGTACGTTTATCTCTCATTACACTCTAATTCCTAAACAACAAAATTAAAAAAAAAAAAAATCAAGAAAATTATTTCTTGCAGTTCCTTTCTTTATGATCATCATTGATTTTTTGAGATAGTCGAGGTTAAAGTTATATTTAATTTTCTTATCATGTTATAGCTATAACATCTGACGTGCTAAAAAAAGTAGTATTCTGTTAAAAAAATCAAGTATATACGCATTATGTTAGAATTTTTATCCCTCAGAAGGAATTTGTTGTGGAGATTGAGATTATTAATAGATTTTTATAACCAAACTACAGAAAGATTGTAATTAATTACCTATGGTCGCATATTCAATCTAATCTGAGAGACTTCATATATGCAAAGATCCAAAAATTCTTTGATTTTTTATATGTTAATTTTGACATTAAACTCCTGTATCTAAAAAATCTTTCAGTTTAAGGGAACGATCGAGAAATGTTTGATGAATTATTCATGATTCTCAGCCGCTTACAATTTTAAAATTAAAAATTATGCGGTTTTATAAGGAGTCACATACATATATATGCTCTTATCGTTCTGATAGAGTCTTCTCGCGCGTCGACACCGTCGCGCGAGAAGACGGTGCCGTTCTTGAGAGGAGAAAATCTAAGAGGAGACGGAGGGAAGAGTGGGTCAGTATAAGCGCCTGGTCTGGCTACAGATAGCCGGTCCCAATGCAAGGCTTCGCAAATGAAGCGAGGAAGAAGCGCCGAGATTGCGATTCGCTACGGTAGGTATACGTGCGCGTTTTTCCCTTTCCTTCTGCCCGCATCCTGAGCAACGGTACCGTTCATCTAGACGTCACGTCGTGTGTCTAAAAACCCGACCTCGATCGTCGGCCCCAATGGGATATATCTTCCCTCGGTTCTACCTTTTTATTCATATGTCTTTTCTTCAAGGACGTAGGATGAAAAAGGGAAGTAACGTCTTTTCTTTAGATTTCTCGAACGAAGACACTACGTAATGTGTCTTAAATTTCTCAATATTTTTAAACAAAACTACAAAAGGACGAAACAATATACAATATGTAGATGAGAGAGAAAGTATTTTTATTTCTTCCTGTACTTTTCATCTTGGAGATAATTCGCATTCAGAAAGAAAATAAATATTGCTGAAAGATATTTCCATTCGAAAGAACGTAACGTTTTCATTTACATTGATATATATCGAATAAGTTGTTTTTTTGTAACAATATTTTTTTTCTAGCTATCTCCAAAAATAGGGTATATAAAAACTTATTTTTTACACACTTCTTTTTTTCGCGATAATTTTATTTTCACCAAAGACATTTTGCGCCCAGGTTCAGAAATCTTACGCTATGCTCTTGCTTTATCTTCATATTTCTTGTTAATCATAAGCTTCTCCCCGATGCTAGAACATTGGTTTAAATTTTAAACAGTCGATGAGCGTTTCTCTAGACACGAGCGGGCGGTCCCGAACTTTCTCGTTACCGGAATAAAGAGTCATTACCTGTCAAAAAGAACCGGTCAGCATTTTCACGTGTTTACCAATGCACGTTAGAGACGAATGCTGTTATTGAATCCTGAAAACATTTCAAACACGATAGGAGGCATACAAATTAGTTAAAATTTGCTATTTCTTTTTAAAAACAGAATCCATGTATGAAATTAGTCCAATTCCACGACTTGAACAACTTAATCTCTTTATTTAGCTCCGAGTTTTGCTCCGAAATTTTGCTCTCATTTTCAATCTTAATTTTTTCATATTTATAGAAGATTTCGATAGATTTAATTTATTATTATATTTATTATATTTAATTTTCTTATTATATTTATTTATTTACTATATTTAATATATTTTTTATTATATTATATTTATTTATTTAGAAATTGAGCTCTTTTACTTTATATCTCAAATAAGTATTAAATGAGAAACTTATGGCAAAAATTATAGATTAAATAGTTTTAAAAGAGGATAATCTGATTATTTAAAGTTACAAAATAAATCTCAGATTAAGAATTGAGAAGAAAAATATTGATTCGGGCCAACCATCGCTGTTAAATGCGGGAAAATAATTTTCTCAATCCACATATGTTCGACTTCAAAGACATTGATTACTGTTATCATCGAAAGGATGTCGCGCCGCGTAGGTGGATCGGCAAACAGTAAAGCGGACACTAGGTAAAGCGGTAAAAAAGACAAAACTCTACACATAGAAAGCCGTCATGCATATCCATATTTTTTTCAACTATCGTCCCCATTATTCACCTACAACGTTCAATTATTCCAATTTTAACACCTGACTTATCTCGTGAGAGAGAGATTTAATTCGACAGCAGATCGACATGAGCTTTGTAAAGATAAAAAGTGAAAAGAGGTTGACGGCTCCAACGGTTACTGATAATTATGTGATCGATGACCGGGTTTACACAATTGACGGCTGGTTGAAAATGATATACGTAATATCAAATTCGATTTTTAACGGGCGAAAGTGATCCTTGTATATTTATCCGAGGATGAAAAACGCCAAAATTATATGAGATATGATTCTCGTTCGCGTATCCAATCGATTCTCGATTCAACGCGCGACGAATTGTCCCGAAATCCCAGATCGTATATATATACACATATACACGGTGTAAGCTCCCCTTAAGGGTTGTATTGATTTCTATGATGGCAGCCGGCCGGCGCCTGCACCCTCGGCGATCGGAGGAAAGGCCCGGAGTAGAGCATTGCTCCGTCGTGTTTTTCTCGGCGATGAGAGTAGTGCGATGTCGCGAGTGTGAAAGCTAATTATTACAAAACGATACGTGTCGCGTTACTCTCAATTCCGCGAGTTTATCGAGGGTCGCTGTTGGTCGAGATCCGTCCGCGAGTGATGGTTGACGATGGGTAATGGTGAACGTTGAACGACGTGCTACACCTGAATATGTTCGGTCAAGACCGGCGGCGAGTTGGCGCTGTGTAGTTATGTAGATAGACCTTTTCGAATGAGAGAGTCGCGAATTAATAGGAGATTACCGTACCGTTGCAATTGCGGCGGTTGCATCTTTGTCGACGAGGATTATCGCTTCGAAACGGAGGGTCGCGCGTGACCGACCTTCGGATTACTCGTGGATCACTCGTTGGAGAAATCAGCGGAAAGCAACGATACTCTTGGGTAAGAGATTGCTGATTCGCCGGAGACCGGTTTATCAGTGTAATATATTCGCCAAGAGTTTGTTAATTAATAAGTAATTGGTAATCGACATAAAAGGTATGTCGATTACCGTATGATTACATAGGGTCTTCGTTCATATTCTGTAAAAAAATTTCCTGATCCTTCAGGTATTTTTATTCAAAATTTCAGGTTAAGAGAATATTTTAAAGATTTTTTGAGATTTTCTAAAATAAAATTTTTTATTATATGCATTTTTTAATGCTTTTCATTTATACGAAAAAAAAACACAGAATTTAAGTGTCAAGTGCTACATTTGCAAATGTGCTGAAAAAAATTGATTATTTTCGTAAGATAAACATTTTTCAATTACATAACATTTTTATTCTTTTATCATTAAAAATTATAATACGTACTCAATATTATACATATTCAATATTTTGTTAAGACTTGAATATATAAAGTAAGAAAGATATATATTTGTATTAAGCAGTATATATAACATATATAGTATAACATATCTTTCAAATTTAATATCGTATCAATCTTATGCCTAATATAAATTGTAGTATAAAAGAATTAGAGATAAAAAAATTGCTTTATATCTTTGCACAAGGTTCTAGTAAAATTGTTAATTGTGCAAGAGTGATTGACGCAAATTACGGAGAGGAGTCAGATTTATATTTTAACCCTTGCAAAAGACTGTTATTGATATTCATTCAAGGTAAATTATTATTCATTCGTAACTCTGGGGAGAGCTTACACGAAATTAACGAAAACGCATGTTTCTCTCGTTACATTATACAGATGCATCGCATCTCGTATGTTAATTAAATTCGCGTTCAATTTGAATGTTAATTGAATTTTGACATGAAAATTTTCACGCGGTTATTCAACCGTAATTGCATATAAAGCCTGTACGTACACACGTGTCACTTGTCACTTGTCCGCGAATGGCTCGTCGTCGTCTGTAGTTTACGCTCTATCGACCAACATGTAGCCCCTTTCGTCATTTGTTCATGCGTCTTACTTTTAATATCTCGGTCATCGACTTACACGATTGCAGGCTGCAAATTTGCTTGATTCGACGACGCATTCCCGAAGTATTTATACAAAAAAGCTTACGCGTGGAGTTTTAATCGTGTCATTACGCATATTGTATTCTATCTAAACCGTAAACTGTGCAAGTAAAATAAAATAAAAATATAATGATCGGTAGTAAAACCAATCAGTAATCATGCGTAAAGCGCGTATTTCGCGTCGCGATGATCGACAATTTTGAACAAAGGAATTGTAAGTCGCATTCGATTGAGGCCGTGCACATTCGATAATTCGCATAAACAATTTACTTATTTAATATGCTGTTCGAGAGCGCGTGGAATTTGAACTGCCATCGTGATTTGACGACGTTTGTCTTAATGAGATGACACGAAATGTTCAAACGCGGTCAAACGCGTACTTAGTCATGTGACATGTGACAGTAGAAAGCATCACAATAACTCAGGCAGTTCAGCTAGATTAAAGAGCGACTTATGTCCACCCGTGCACCATGACCGCTATTCGACCGACAAACTTGACGCCTCGCAAAAGCGTAATTTTAAAAGTGTAATTAGAGCTTTAAAAAGATCGAATTTTTTTTTTCTAATTTGAGGAAAAGACACTTTCATATCGAATGCGGGCGCTTTCGTTGAAGGAATCCCTCAAAGTCGCTTGGCGCGAATATTACGCTATTAATGCTACTGTTTTTATATCAATGGCATTCCCCGTATCAATTCTACCTCCGAGGAAATGTTACTTTCGCTGTGTGCTTCTTCCTTGCCAGATGCACCGGACGTGTCGATGCGTGTGGCGGAGAAATCAT